CATTATAACAGCATATGTAAAAAATACTCAGCTGAGACAACATCATTCAAGCTTGTTTTTAAATCAAAACAATGGTCGCTCGATTGAGACTCAATAATTTTGGAGTTGATTGCAGTTATAGATGAGACTGTAAGTTATTCCACAATTCTCCACCTAAACTGAAATACAGTATGATTATTATTATTAATTATATTATGGCGCGCTGTCACATCACGTGACTTACGAACAAAACATCGCCGATTTTTGCTAATAGTTATTACGATAAATGCTATGGTAACGAAACGTGTTACAATGGGTAAGCCTTGTGATGTGAGTGATCTGACCACGTGATATGACGTGACGTTTCATATCACGTGGACTAACAACTAAACACTATCGCCGATCCTTGCCAGTAGTTTTGACTTACGAACGATTGCATGTTATCATTTCATCAAATAATTAAATAACGCTTATTTTAACAAAATTCGCTTCCACATACTTCTGGTGACCCCATCGTACCCACATCTAATGACCCGCATCTGGTGGCCCCATGCACACGCATCTGGTGGCCCCTTGGCCATAACGGCGCCTTAACGAAGACTTGAGACTTGTGTTATCAATCATCTGACATCGCGACATGGCGTGACGTCACATATCACATGACTTACGAAACAAACATTTTTACGAATACTTATTACAATGAGTCCAGGGCTGTCAACTCTCCCGGATAAACCGGGAGTCTCCAGATTTTGGACTGTATCTCCCGGTCTCCAGATTAGAGTCTCAAATCTCCCGGATAATTCCCGAAGCTGACCATTTCTTGTCTTGTGAGACTAGACTTTCACAACCATAAAATTCCAATTATTTCATGTTGTTTGTGTTATTTTATATCGCTAACAAAATCAAAACGTTCCTCATAAACTGTTCTTGCAAGCAGGTCATTGTAATATAAGCGATAATCTGATTGGTCAGAAATAAACCAATCACATCAAATGTTACAAAGCGAAAGACGTCTTTTCGCGCGCTTTTTGACACGCTGTGACGTCATGTCCCTTCCCTATCAATTCTCTAGATTTGAATATCTCGGGGGTTGGCAGCCCTGAATGAGTGCTATGGTGATTCCAAGATTGTGATTCCAAGACCACCCATACGTACTGGCAATGCTAGGATTGCAAGTTGAGGTTGATTACAGTTTGTAGAAAGTGTGTTTGCTCACCCAGTAAATTTTAGCCATGTTCATCCATTTGCTCTCAGTGAATAAACACTGCAATTGTGTGATGAAGCAGCTCTATTCAGTGCATTAAGAAAGAATTCTTTTCGTATTCAAGCAATGAGCGCCAAAAACAATTTGCTTGAAGAAAGCCGGCTGTTGTCAAGAGAAAATGAACTACCCTTAGTTCATTCATATTCTCTTGCTGTTGTGCGAGGCTAAAATCTTGTTATTCAGTAAGTTTTACTTGTTTGGAAGTGGAGATGACCGATGAAAGTAGAATCACAGTGTTAACCAAAGCAAACATTTTATTCGAAAATGAGGGTTAGGCCTTCGTTTCCTTATTTCCCATATATTTTCTATAAAAAAGCCTGACAAAGCAACATTCTAACACAAATGCAACACAACTTCTTTGCATGCGATTGAAAATACCGCTTCAAACAGGCATTTCATCATAGTACATCAGTTTCTAACTGTTTAAAAAAGGTTTTGACGAAATATGAAAATACTCTTTTCTTTTTGTTTATTTGTTTCAGTATTTAAAGGAAAAATAATATTATTTACTTATTATTCTGATCGAGATTAAAATTAATCCACTAAAAAAATAATAATCATTCATGCAATTTGGGGGTAGGAATATCGAAATAAACTTTTGATTGCCTTAACCAAACAACCGCAAAAACCTAGAAGACAACCTCCTGTTTCGGCGTTGACCGTCATCTCTGTGTTACAAGTCACGTATATGGGTCACGTTATCATTTCAGCAATCTCTCTTCTTTTCCGATTTTRTTTGACCTCCGATTGTTCTCCATCGTAATTATACGTTTCAGTATCAGAATATCAAAGATTTTCATGCATACACACTGAATTTTGGTTATATTTTATATTTAAAAGATCAATATTTACATACTGACCAGGCCTTATTGTCATTATACAAAACCCTGGGTCCCACAGAGTTGTTTTGTGATGTAAATGAGGAGCCCGATCAGGTCAACCGACTTGTCTTCCTACTAAAAATCCAACTGCGTAACTCTACAATATTATATGCAAATTTTGGGATAATAACTATGGCAGTCTAAGGTTCTTCTTACATACTTAAAAACTTGTTTTCTATCGGAATTCTCTGATTGTGGTTCCACAATCTCAGCAGTGATCTGCTTTTTATTGTTCCCTGGCCAGGGATGCCATCGTTCATAAAAAATCCTTACTGCATATTTACGGAAAAAGTTGACCGCCTTTTTAATATTTTGAATCTTTCTACAATTACTCTGAAAGAGATTCATATTTATCCACTTCATCGTCAAAAACCTAGCTTTTTCGTCTTCAACTAATAAGCAATAATAATGGCTGTTCAAGCTTCATGCATGGAATTGGCTCTTGAAGGGGAGCGTTTGTGCAAAGCCGGTGACTGTAGAGCAGGAGTGAGTTTCTTCGAAGCTGCCGTTCAAGTTGGCACCGAAGATCTCAAAACTCTTAGTGCAGTTTATAGTCAACTAGGAAATGCTTACTTCTATCTTCAAGAATACGAGAAAGCCTTAGAGTTTCATCGCCATGATTTAACGCTAGCAAGGACGTTGGGTGATCGAGTTGGAGAGGCTAAAGCAAGTGGAAATCTTGGAAACACTCTCAAAGTATTAGGGAAATTTGACGAAGCAATCGTGTGTTGTACTCGACATTTGGATATTTCAAGAGAACTTGGAGACAAGGTATTTGTTTGTCAATATTTACGGTTTGGTTCTTTGGGAAGGGCAAACTTTAGGGGCATTTTTAAGATAATTTGGTTTCCAGCCAGGGGAAGATTTGTTCATACCTTTAGTGGCTTTAGTGCATAAACAGTTCATCATTTCATGTAAATTATATAAAACAATATAGATATATATGAAGTGTTCTAACTGGGTAAATGTCCTATAAAACTGGTTTAATCAACTTGTGTTAGTGGTACCAAATGGAGTTTCCTCGTTGCATTGCTTCAATGTTAAGTTAAATGTTCAATGCCAAAAACACTAACATGGATTGTCTTGAACTAAAAAGTCACCAACGATTAATTATACATTTTTTCTAACACTATATCAAAGCTTAATGACAATTTCGCAATTATCTTTAAAATGTTTTTAAAAATATTTTACACAAATAAAGAATGAAAAAAGTTTTTTAGGTTTAACTCTGCATTATTTTATTGTGATCCATAAATATGTTAAGCTTTAATACGTTTTTCATAAAATTAGTAGTAATAATTAATGATTATTATTTATTGTCTTGAATAACTTCTTTCTGTACATGTAGATGACGTTAATAATTAAATGGACATTGTGGATTCAATTTTTCATAAATTAATTTTACTTATCTGCTTAGTAAAAACACAAAAAACTGTTTTGAAAGTAATACTAATTTACATTGGCTGAGCATTTATTACTTGATATTACTGATATTTGATATTAGCATATACCAGCTTGTGTACTTCTTATAAGAACGTGCGTGCTCATTGGTTAATTGGAGGTGAAAGTTGTACGATATTCACCTTTGAATCTCGGAATATTGAGTCAGCAACAAAATGGCATCTGCCGACAATCGTTTTGCTACGATTTCCGATGTGGAAATTGAAAAATTGAAAGTAAATGCCATTCCTATTAATACTAAAAAGGCAATGAAGTATGGCCTAAAAGTTTTGCTAAAAGTTTTGTGTGAATTTGTTACGCAAACTACAAGTTTCTGTTTGTTTGTTTTTATTGAATTATTGTATATGAAAATAAGTTACTCTGTACACAAGTTGGTATGTGCTAAAACAATTATTCGCCTCAGGCTCAGTGAATATGAAGAATATTTACCTCGCCGCTCGAAGACTCGCGTTTCGGTAAATATTCCCCGATATTCACTTCGCCTTTGGATCCAGTGTCTCATTGTTTGAATGAAGAAAGTGGTGAAATAATCTCGTTCGAATGTACAATAGAAGTCAAATGAAAATCAGATGGATATTTTTCTAACAGTTTCAGTTGTTTTTAAAGTTTTAATAGCTGTTTCAAAAGTCTGTACTATTTGTCTATTTGGGGGGAGGGGGGTGAGGATTTTTATTAAAGATATGTATGAGTATGTAGGTATCATCTGAAGTGTAGACCAGTTTTTTTTGTGTTTTTTTTTTTCTATCTACCTTTGACTGTAAACTTTAGTCTTAAGTATGGAGGAGCAATGACATGCCATACATTGTAGCCATTTATTTCCAAAAGCATTGTTATATCAAGTATCTTTAGTACAGTTCTTTTAAGTGCTTGTTGTATCAAGTATCATTATAGTACAGTTGAGATTCAGCTTTTTTAAGTGGTGTTGTATCAAGTATCATAGTACAGTTAAGGTACAGCTCATTTTAGTGCACACATATTTACTGTCTTCATGTCAATACATATATTATCCATTTACATGTATAACCTTTTGGGAAGAAAAATTGGATTTATTAATTTAAAAGGTTTTACAGTTTTAAGGAGGGGCTGCCGATGCTCTACATTGATTGATGATGTGTCCAGATTCATACACCGCTCTACTCTTGTTCTGAACCTAACACAATACCAGTAGTTGCTACTCTAAATCTTAAAATATCAAACTAAATAATTAGGCCTGTTGTGCCAAAGGTAATTAAGTATGGCATGATTAAAAAAGAAACTTTCAAACACAAACATAACAAAGTGCATTGCAAATTAATATAGCACTAAGGGCTTTCATCCTTTCCATTACATCAAAATTCTACTTTGTTACATGGGTGTGTAATTTCCAGTTTTCTCTGGCAATTTTATATAGCCACTAGTAATGTAACTAAATACGACTCATATGTACTTATATGATAAGTCTGGAAAAGAAGTTCCTACAGCATGAAATACACAATATAACTATGACAAAAGAGTGGCTTATGAATTTATAATTTGGTCCAGCAGTTTGTCCTACCATGATGCTGATTTTTGTGTGCACATACCATATGACATCAATGAAATATTTTGATGTGATAATAATTGGAACATATGTTTGCATGATGGTCTTAATATGACGTTACCACAATACATCTAGACGAGGGTACATTTTTACAAAATCAATATGCAAAGCTTTGTGTGTACTGTAGGTAATTAATATTTTAAATCACAAATATCCTTTAAGGATGGTGCCTACTAATACAAAACCAATTTGATTTTAATATAAATATGTGGATTACTTTAATCCTTCAAAGGGTTGATAAAATCTGGTTAGGAATTACAGCTTAAAAATCATGAAAAAGTGATGATGTCAAGGTTGTTCTAAAGCTAGGCAAAAATGTGTTGTTGTTTTTTTTCAAAAGATTTTGATTAATTTTCATTTTGAATTATCCTAAATGACTGACACTGTTTCTTTATTAAAATATGCCCCTACTACCGTGATTCCAATAGATGACTATAAAATATATACATTTTCAGTTTCATCAGCTTAATTATATTTTTTCTCATTAGGTACATAAATATTTTATTCATATTTTTTTGAAAACCAATTTTATTTTTAAAAAGTCATTTGCTTTATAATTTACACAAAGAAAGAATGGGGATATCCAGGCATTTTAAAGAGATACAATTTTAGGAGTATTATTAGGGATAAATCTGATACCAAATGCATGACAAGTGGAATACATAATGGAATGTTTGCACATTAAGCAAAAGCATGCTGCTTCCCTGCCATGCCAGCAAAAAAAAAAAAAAAAAAAACAGAGGGAAAATTAAGCATTTTAAATCTGTATTACAGTATATTTCCAGGAAGACTATTGGCCTATTTGACCTTTTACTTCACAGAAAACTGAAAACTTCAAAGTAAAAGACTTTCATGTGATGAAAGTTTCTTAATAGCCATCAAAGAAAGTTTTTTAAAACTATAATTACATACTAGACATTAATTATGGTAAATTTTCAATTTGATATGTATTCCTCGTTTGTATTTATTCAAGTTTTATTATTAGGTTAAATCTAGAGAAACTGTAATAAGCTTTTATTTGAAAGGATTTGGTTTTTGAAAGCGAGAACTATGAATCTCATGTGCCTTAGAAAAAGCTTATGATCATTTATCAATAATACTTGAACCTTAGCAAAATATCTCTTTAACAATCCTGGATTACTTAAAATCGTTTTCTTTTGTTGAAATTAAAATGCTTGATACTCACTATGTTTGAGCATGGACAAAAGTAGTCACCATTTTTTTAAGCCTCCATTGTTAAAAATTATGATCATTTAAGAAACACATCTAGAAGATTTTCATTAGATTCCTCATGGTATAAGCCAAAAGAGTGTTATAGAGATTGTCTTTTTTGCTTTAATCAATGATTATTAAAATATAGCTCTTAACAATCCGCTTTGAAATAAACAACTAGTGCATGGCTTGGTTAGCGACATGTTCTTTCTTTAAGGCTCTTTACTAACCCCAAGTATCAACAAATATATATGAAGTATTTAAAAAATGTTGAGCCTTGGCAAGAAGAGCTACAAACAGTTGCCATGATAAATGCTTTCAAGTTGTGCACCTGAAACATATGTTGTGAGACAAACTTAATCAGGTTGAATTCACCAATTTTGATAAGGTGTCTTTATTGTTATGTAAGATTGTAAGTAAATGCTAGCAAAACAAGTGTAGGAAGACATTTTAAATTTGTGAATTTATTTCTTTGTTCCTATTGGAGCTACCATACACATCACATGCATTAAACCTTTCTTTATTAGTATTCTTATATTTATAAAGAAGACAAATAATAAGGATAATATTTTTAAATAAAGATTACATCCTTATTAGTATTCTTTATATTAATAGTGAATACTAATAAGGAAAACTTTATCAGAGATAAAGTTGCATCCAAGTTTAGATGTAATATACACTTAATTGAAGAATTGTTGTCAGGTTCAGAAACATATAACATAGAAGCTGAGACCGAAATGGCACATGGAAAGTGACATAATTATATTATAATGTATTTATTTACACCATCTATGCAGTCGGTTTAGAATACCAAACACTTATTAGAAACAGTGGATGATTCCACGGGTCGCCGGTCACAGCATGCATCTAATTAACGTACTTCTCATGTGCCATTTCAGTCTCAGCTTCTATGTTCTATGTTTCTGAACCCGACAACGATTCTTTAATTGAGTGTATGCAGTATGAGTGGCCGTGTTGTATCAGATATACAAGCTTGAGGAGTAGCTGAGAGTTTGTATATCGGATACAACACGGACACGAATACTGTATATTGCTTGTCAAACGTCTAGGTTAGTTCCTTTTATTTGTGTTTCACTAAAATTTTCAAAATTAAAGTAAATGACTGTCCAAGAAAATCCAACTTAAAGTTTATGCAAATGAACATAATTTTGTATCAGATTTACAACACTCTTCACGGTCGTGATTTCTGTTGTCTTTTCCTCATGAATTATTAATGAGTTTGATAATTATATTTACCGACATTCAGGCAATACGTCTGTGAATATCTATATATAAAAGAAAAGACAGAATGATGTCATCGGCTGCATGACCAAGGTCAGCTAGACAGTATTATACTCCTTAAACAATGATTGTCAAAGAAAAAAAGGTGTTAAATTAAATTTATTAACATTTATTCCAGATCTATTTATCGATAGAAATCAAGAAACAGAAGTAGTGACTCAATCAAATAATCAATCAGTGTTTTATACTATGTATTGACTAAATTGATTAAATGCTTTTTAAAATTCCTTTTAAAACAGGGTAATGACATGTTTGTTTAGACTTACTGTAAGGTCATTGGGAAGTGAAATTCCACAATCTTGGACCAGAAGAGACAATAGAATAGTCATTATAGTCATTAGCCTGTCTGGTAGAATATTGGTGGATTTCAGAATTCTTATTAAACATGTTTTGAAATGTATTTGGAATAGAATTAGAGTGTACAGAAAACATGAATAAAGCTACTTGCAATGAATGTATATTGTCAAGAGTCAGTATATGAAATAGAGGTGCAGTTTGTGAGCATCAAATGGTGATTTAGTGATAATGCGAATAATTCACTTTTGTAAGACATTCAGTCTTCTAAGGTTACCATAGTACAGGTATGGGTTAACTAATGAGTGGTACAATTCAAAGAGTGACATTTCAGAAATGAAATATTTTGTTTTTGAAATAATCCCTATAGTTTTAGATATTTTGCAAGCAATAGCGTCAGTATGATCTTACCATGATAGATGATTGTCAATAATTACGCCTTTTATACTTTGTTTACATTTAATTTGTTCATAATTTTTATTATAAGGTCAAGATTATCAATTCTTTTTTGTCTAGTTCTGAAGATAACATATTTAGTTTTCTTTATGTTTATTGAAAGTTTGTTGGCAATAAGCCACTGTGATACCTTATCAATTTCATTATTCATTTCTTGTTGGTTGATTTTGCTTTTGATTTATCTGAATCATCTGATCATTTTTAGGTTGGTGAGGCAAGGGCTCTGTACAACTTAGGAAATATTTATCATGCTAAAGGCAAGCATTTTGGCAGAAGTTTTAACCAAGATCCAGGTGATTTCCCAGAAGAAGTAAGAAGTTCTTTAGAGAGAGCTGTGGAGTTCTATGAGTAAGTTTAATTTCCCATTATTGCTACAGTCATTTGTAGTGTTATTATGGAGGTGTAAATGTGGTAAAGTTTGTCTCTAATCCCATTCTAAGTACAAAGTTATTTCATTAGAAGGTAGAAATCATGAAAAAGGTTGGAGTTTACCCTATTTTGTTTCATTTTACACTGTACAATATGTTGTTCTGGTTTTACACATTTCTTTGATTTACATAATTAGATACTTGCAGTGGCACCCCAGTACATTAGATGAAATTTGACTATATTGTACAACAGCTGTAGTTTTCTGAAAGGCACCCTAAGTAGAGGACTACATGATTCACGTTTACCGAATTCTTCATAAATACAAATATGAAAATTGCCAAAAATCTATAAAACTCAAATATAAAAAATAAAGACATGGGTCACACACAGGCAGCCCAAGCAATGTTCTTAATGTGTACAATATGTGGTTAAATTATACAAAATCTTCTTGATAATCTTGCAACTGTACTGTATTGTACACATTTGGAATGTTCTACCATAATATATTGTATCTTCAGGAAGCTGGACTTTCAGCTGGATTTCATAGAAACCTAATCTACAGAATGCCTCAATCAAGTCTGTGTTCATAAGGCTGTCCTCACTGTAAACTCCATTGCATCCCTCTGTGTAGATCTTGACAAATTTATTGTGTTTTAGTTAGTGATTTATTTGACTTATTTGCTGAGGTTTTTTTTAAAAATTTGCTTTCTCTCTCATAAAAAAAAACCAGAAACATTTTTGAGAAAAATAGAGTAAATTTTGAAAAAATCTCCACAAAAAAGCCCCTGGTCGAGCTCAAACTTCATACAGTCACTTACTAAAACACAAAAAACCTGTCAAAGTTTTTTGTCAAGATTTATTAAAACAATTGTTACATTTGTACCGTGACAGATTGACCTCATACATTTAAAGCAAATTGTACACAAGAACATTGCTTGGGCTGCCTTTGCGCAAATATAGTAAAAAATGAGATGCGTGAAATTGATGCGCAGTAGCAAATTTGTTTGTTTATTGACCAGTTTAACTTCACAGCTAAAACAGTTGACTTGACTTAATTTTATCAAAATTCGTAGTTTTTACTAGATGATGCAAGATAGATAGACGGTTCATTACGTGAAAAAAGTTCCAGCTATTCTTAATTCCGAAATACCTAAAAAAGTTAGAAGCTATGATAGGCATAAAATATGTAACTCACAGTATTGTATTAATCCGAGGAAGGTTCCTGAGGGCCCCGTCGCTATTCATAGCGTGATTAGTGGACAAACTAGTTATAATTTTCAATACATACAGCCAATGAACTCGAATAATTCAGGCACTGAAAGATTCACTAGTGCTTTTTCTCTTGGATTTAAAGTTTCGTTTTTTCCAACATTCATTACTTCCAATTTAATTAATAGCTCTGTCCATTAAAAATAATGGCCCGAATTTCATTTTATTTAATTTCTTTTTTTGTAGCCGATTTTGACAATAAACCTTGAATCAAGTTATTCAAAATTTGATTTGTTAACTCAAATTGTTCTGAGGTTAATCTATAAACTGCCTCGGAAACGAAAAGGAAAGTATGTAACAAGCAGTTAAAATATCAGAGATGTTTTGTCTACTAAAACTGCGACACGTATTTTGTATTCTTAAAATATAACTGGATGCCTATAGTGTTATTTAGATATCACACTTTTCCTGTATCGGTTCTGTTACTAAACGTCATCCAAAGTGCGTCACGCCATGTAGATTGGCCGATAAATGCGCAAATGAAGACACCGCCTTAGCCTTGGGATGCGAGCTTGGCTCATGACGTATCAATTTTGGTGGTAAAAGGTAAAGTTAGTCAATAACGAACCTTTTATTAACAGCTCTAAACGCGCGCAATTCTGTTGCTTGTACCTAAGACTCCACTGATAAGATAAGTATATGATATTACATATTTACAGTCGATTTGCATGTACTCTGTAACATTCCTTTAATCTTGTCGGGTCAGTCCATTTAGGTCAGTATGCATGAAGCAAATACTTTGGGATGATATTTGTTTGAACGTAAGGCCTTAAGGAATAGTCGTAGTTCTTATGATACTATCATACTGTAGTTTGCAAGGAGACTGTATATGGTGATGTATAATCAATTGGGTTGTGATAGATTTTTGAATGACCGCCGGAATTATAGGAACGTAATAGTCCTGAATGTTTGTGTGCCTAAAAAAGGCATTGACCCCATTGGAGGGTCATTTTCATGGTTTTTTGTTCAGCATGTATTTTTTGCTTGAAGTAGCGAATTAAATATCGAATATACATTCAAGTTCATCATTCTTCGTATCCCTGAGCGAAATTCGCTTATGTGCGGCTACTGCTACGACTAATACGCAGGGTCGCACGGCATTTGGTGATTTTAGTGAACTGAATCGGGTTAAGAAGCCATTGACTAATGTATGTTTTGTTTTGTTTTTTTTTTTTGTATCGATATTTTCACTATCGAGTTGTGAGTGTCCGTGAGTAACAGATGCACAGGAAGCCCAAATTCGGAGGTTGTTCATGCCTGCTCAAATCGAATGGCGATGGATGGTGATGGTGATAGTTTCATGGTCGTTGCAATTCGATTCAGCCATAATTCATGGTCGTGGTGGCTAGACCAAATAGTACTCGGTATCCTGTCTTATTCTGAAGGGCAAAACATTGATAAGGAGTCTTTTCCGTTAATCCTCGACGAGTCTTCGAAGACGGCATTGAACAAACGAATCTGCGGTAATCTTTGATGTTTCTTCAGATCAGTCTTTTCAGGTACTTCGACGATTCTTCGATTCGATTTGATTGAGTTCGTGTCAGTTCGAGACCAATTCGAGTTGGTTGCTTTTCGAATTTTCATCGATTGAAATATAATACGTCGTTTCCTTCTCTCCATGTGATATGTCTGTATTTACGTATTTTATTTTGCATCTGCAACCAGGGATCGATTTTATCGGATGTGAACAGTGAATTTGAAAATTATTAAATGACAATAATGATAATTATGTTACAAAACTTCCAATAAGTGTTTGATATCTGTAGATCGTTTATGTGTTTCTTTTATGCCTTTAATCATTGGTGATTTTGCTCATACCGTAAAACAATTTCTAGAACAATAAATCAGTGATCACGAAGCTCTTTTATTCTATTTCATTATCTAAGCAATAATTGACAATAATTGATAATACCCTTTCCAAACAACCAATTAATAACGTTCAAACTACTACAATATTCATGTTTATTATAGTCATTTTCTATAAATCTGTCAGCAGTAGCCACGTGCAGTCAGCGACTGTCTATTTTTAATGCTGTTGTCCATCGCAGCCTGTAAACAGCCGTTCCTTATCTAGGTATACATTTTACATTAAGCGAGTGTTTTGTTATTCGCTATTTTGCATGGTATTATGTTTTATATTTTAATCCATATCACCTCCAGACTTTTCGATAATCTGAATGCTACTTAGTAGAGATAAACTAAGTCCCAAGTCAGGATCCGAGCCAGGACTCGAGTCAGAACTCGAGCTGGGACTCGCTTTTCGACACATTTTTTAAAGAATAATTCAAATCAGATAAAATGCAAAATGTAGTCACAACGCTTCAAAGTTTTTCTGCAATAGAGTCGTTTTCAAAAACCTATCATGCATTGCTCTGTGGCAATTTTTGGCTAATCCAAGCGCTTTTAACAATATTATACAGGGACCGCGGAGACGGGGGGAGGGGGGCCAGGGTTAATCCAAGCGCCCTTACCCCCCCCCCCCCCCATTTGCGTATCTCAAAACTGCAACCTTTATGCAATTGACTGTATATGTATATATATATATACACACATGGTTGCAGGAAGGTTGTAGTATACATTTATACAGAGACCTAATGCAGAACGTAAAATATGCTTAAATACGATTTCTTAACCCTTACATTTTGTGGAAAATACGTTATTAACTTGACTTTGTGCAATACTTATGTAATATATAGTAGAAGATAAATAAGACCAAATAAGTTACTTTTTTACGTTCTGCATCTGGTTGGAGTGGTTTAACGGAACCACCTGCTACAAGAGGTTTAAAGATAAAAAATGGAAATTGAAGCATTCGTCAGAAATTGGCTATGCTAAGAGATTTCTGACGGTTGACATCTTGAATGTTGTATGGTTTATTGAAACAAAAGAAACTATATACAATATATTTCATTGCTGTAAACTTTGTCAAGTTTTTCAGATTGTTCAATCTGCATGCCATTCGATATTTTAATAAATCGTTAATTGACTAATAGAAAGCACAACACAAATGCTAGTGTGATACTGAAATAAGGTCTTTACCGAAAACACGCGTAATAGTGAGAAAGCATGACTTGACGTTTCGGCTATGCTGGAGATCGGCTTCTTCATAGCAAAAAAGGTTTTTTTTCGTAATAAAATTATCATTCAAGTTCGAAAAGTCATGTGCTCGCGTCTTCAAAACAAACTGACTGACTAGAAATTTTGATATTTGGATCACAAAATGGTTTGACCGCCAGGCTTTGATGTGCTCTAACTTGTTTTATATGGGTCTAGTCCCTCGGCTTCGCCTCGTGAAACATCGCCGTCTCGCGACAACAAAACACACTGTTTCCCTCCGTCCCATTCAATAAGTGTTAGTTATTTCGATGAAATGTCATCTGGGGTGCCAGGTCAGTGTAAAAAGTACCACACCGTATATGTACTTGTACCCACCAATTGTCATGTGCAAACGCCTGATAATTTAATATGCATGGTAAGGTAATATGATAAGCATATGACCGAAAGATATTCTGGGAAATGACAATTGTCCTCTGGGCCTGGTTGTACGAAGGGTGGATAGCGCTATCCGATGGATAAATTCTTCTTCAACCAATGGATAAGTCGATGCTGTTATCCAATAAATGTATCCTCTCTCTTACGCATTGATAAGAACAAAAGCGGTTAGTCGAGTATTATTAAGATCTACTTTATAACTAATTATTGTATCAATGATATGCACTTGATTATCTGCTACGGTATTTTATGATTTATTGGGAAATAATAGAACTTAAAATTACCAAGAAGAGAGTTAATAAGCTAGCTTATTAGTTCCTAAAACATCGTATTACGGCTGAAAAGCCGATGTATTTCATGTGTCTGATACATGGTACCACGTCACTTTGGGAAGTGTGGGGCAACTCGCACATGCTACCAATCCACGGTGTCAAACTACTGAGAGGGGAAGGAATTTGCCGGTAATAAGTGCTTCTAACAGGGTATCGAGGCAGTAAGGGAGGGCGGAGTGTTTCAATTATGGTATTGAAGGAGGGAAAGAGTAGGAATAACTAGTAACTCGTTCAATTATACTCCTCAGTATATGGGAGTTAGGCTTGCATTATCAGCTGTATAGTGAGGTAAAATTGGGATATACTGAAGTTTGCAACGTATAGGAGTTTCTTTGAATTATTGTTTCAGAGGTAATCTTTCCATAGTCAAACTTTTGGGAGACAGGGCAGCCCAAGGAAGAGCTTGTGGAAACCTTGGCAACACACATTACCTGCTGGGGAATTTTGACTTGGCAATAATGTTTCATGAGGAGGTAAGAACAAATTTTGCCTTTCTCTGCTGGTTAGGAAATTTTGCTTCCATCTATATAGTTGTAAGTGTTATTGTTATTATCTCTCCCGTTATAGCCGTAACGGTAAGTTATGTATTCCCAGTTGAAGTATTTTTCAGACGGATCGTATTTTTTTATATCGTATAGCTGTGACGATTAAGGTTTGAAGGAAAGTACAGGGTTGTAATCGTATGTATATGTAATCGGGGTTACCATGCAAAAGATAAATAGGCTTTTTTTTGGTTTTTATGTTGAACATCAAATTCATATAACTAAGCCTAATCCTAAACTAGAATAGCACACAGAATAAATTATAAGTAGTTAAAACGCTCAAATGAATTTCTATGATTTGGCTGTTACAATGTCGAACTTCACATGAGCCGAACCTTATCACATTAAAGAAGACCGCCTTCTTATCCATTCTTTCAATTAGGTTCGACTCATCTGAACTTCGACGTTTGACCTGACCCTTACTTACTGACGTAGTGGCATRACTTTAGTGCGTGAGCTTATTGTGATGACGCCACTCGAATGTTTTGATGAACAAAATATCAAACAAGATTTCCAATTTCTTAAACTCTTTTCATAGCCCTAAAACRAAGTCGGTGACCTCCCTTTTTATTTCGTTTTTTGGAAGTACTTTATAATACCTATAACTTTGCAATATTAATTTAAATAATTCTGACGATGGGTAAATTACATATTTTGTGCATAATTGGGTGAATAGAATTTCACATAATAAGGTGTAGGCTACAAGGTCCACACTCGTAGCCCAACTCAACATTTCAAATTTCTAATTTTCAACCTGAAGTTTAAATGCTAAGCAATTATTGGGTCATTTTCTAGAGTTAAAACTTTCAAAAAAATATGACGATCGAATCTTTTAAATTTCACCTCGTAATCGAGGTACCTTGGGGTCCAGAGAGATCGTCCAGAGGTTATTTCAGTATTCTCGTTCCGGCGATTGATGCATGCTTTAAACGGAAGTCAGGAGAAAAAAATGTTTCTTTCGCGCTCCCTCGCGGCGGCCTTGGGCGCTCGCTCGTTACACCCATAGGAAGCAAAATATAACCTCTGGATCGCAGGGTATAATTAAGGCAAGTTGAGATGAAAGGTATCGATATTAAACATTTTTCGATGACTCTTTTTTAGAATCACCACTCATGATGATTAGTATGTTAAGAATTAAAAATTTAAATTTTTGGCTAATATTATTGACGTAGTGTTGTTCTTTCTTCTTCTCTTTACCAGAGATTAGCTATCGCTCGAGAATTTAATGACAAATCCGCTGAAAGACGAGCCTGTAGTAACCTTGGCAATGCTCATGTTTTCTTAGGAGAATTCGAGATAGCAGCAGAGTACTACAAGTAAGTGTTGTGTATGGTTTACCGATTTTAACGTTTTACTTTATTTCGGCCACTATTTGATGATGTTCCAAATCTTGCTGATTTTTAATTCTAGCCTCTAAATACAAATTAAGTATTGCGTCTCTCGAGAGTACACTTGAAAGAAGGCTTCTTAATGCCTTGTTCGTTCATAAGTTTGGATAAATAGACATCTGCGGACTCAACAACTGAGCATGACAAGCAGTGAAACTGGACAAGCATTTTTGCGGGGAAAAGGAACACTACATTCATATTGACGGCGGAAATGGGAAAGAACAAGGATCGCGCCAGGATTTGTCCTTTTTCTTTGTTCTACCTTTCTCTCTCTCAGTTCTCCCTTTCATTCCCAGCTACTCATCATTCCTAAAAGATTTTAGCAAAAAAAAAAAAAAAAAAAAAA